CATTCTCGTGGGCGTATGTCCCAGCAAAACGACTGACAAGGTGCTGGTATGACCAGGGCAGAGGTACCTGGGGACGATGGAAACAAGTCGACGATAAATTGAGCAAGATCCGAGAACTACTGTTATACAGCACTCGTAGGGCGTCGTGGATGAGGCAGCGTGAATGGGAGGAGAAGGGGAGACGGGTTGGCATGGATTGTGGCAGGAGAGACTTTACTGGCACGATCTGCCGAGCTTGAAGGATTGCTATCCATCCGTGGGGGCAAAGACGTCCACGGAAGCTTTGGGCTCGCCTCTTTACTACTCCTGAGAGTACCCATCGTCCCACCACCAAAAAAGACCTCAACCCTCGCCGACACCGTCTTCGTCCACGTTCCTCGCATGGTTGTACGATCGTCAAATTCAACTTCGGCATCGAGCTCGAACTTGAGGAGGGTAAAAGAAGCCAAATGTCGCCTCCCAATGCTTGGATCGGAAGTTATTCCAGCCGTTCGCATTGCGGTTCAACTCTAGCTCGAAAGGTTCTGAGAAGGGGTGATAGCATCGGCCACGCGACAGTGACTCTCCATTCCCATCCGCGGCATTTCCAAACAAAAGCCATACAATTCTGAGGCTCGTTGACCTTTCAATCCTGCGAAAAGAGGGCTAACAAAGGGATCTGGCGTCTGTCTGAGAAACGCATGCCAGGGAAAGGAAGGTGTCTGCAGAGGACGTTGGGGTATATGACAGGGGAGATAGGGCCGAGGCGGGTTTAGGGAAGGGAAGGGGTGAACCATTGCTGGAGGAATGCTGATGGAGGAAGAGGTGGACGTTGAACGTTGAGGATTGAATGAGTATGGAGATGGGGGTGGAGGGTAGTTATGGATGGTACTTCGTCTTCCAGGCGTGTTTTGCATTAGAGAAAGAGGAAGATCTCAACGAGAGGAGTAGGGAGAGGTGAGATGGGGCTGGTTTTGGACCGCTGTGAACGGGGAGTGGGGTGAATGTCGATGGCAGAGATTCTCTGTTGGTGCTCGATTTTGATTAGGCTTCTCGCCCATCGTTTCGTTTCATTTCATTTCGCAAGATTCGTTTTTGGTCGTTAGAGGGTCGACCTCGAGTTATGGTCCTTGTTTTCCGCCTGAGAAGTGGGCTGCTATTCAAACTGTTAGATACGATTCAGAGAGTTATAGTGGTGAGGAACTAGAAAGTCTTACAGAGATTGTGATCTTGTTCAAACAAACTCGTTCCCGACCCATGTTGGATTTCGACCCAGAATGCTCGCCGCAGCCGAGACGTCGAATTTGATATTCGGTTCTTGAGTGAGCCGGTGGGAAAGTGCGATCTCGTGGGGTCTGGTCGCAAGAGTTGGTTTGGTAGTGCGAGTTGACATTGGTCTACGCTGGTACTTGAGAGCAAGCAAAGGAGTTTCGCCGCCCGATTAGGATTCCGACAACGAATTCTCACAACTCCTCTTCTTCATCGACCACGACAACAGCCCGACCTATCGACGTCTTTAGCCATTCAAGTTTTCCTAGCCTTCATATTACGACATCATTCCACTGATGGAATCTTCATCATTACCCGCATTGCTGCAAAACGCCATCGGAACCACCATATCTGGAGCCACACAGATCATAAATGCCGGCCGCGACATCGTTCTTCATGGCTCTCTGGACCCGCCTCCCACAGGTATGTCAGTTTTTTATAAATTTTCCAACTCAAATTGTTCATTGCATCTAGGTCTTCGGGACTTGCTTAGGCCTGTCAGCAACGCAAGCCATACTCGCGCGGGCCCCGTTGCTCGATGTGAACCTGGAACCCGCCTAGAGGTCATTGCTCAGATTGACCAGTGGTTTAACGGGCCTGACAATCAAGCTGCTATCTGCTGGCTCACAGGACCAGCAGGCTATGGCAAGTCAGCAGTGGCTCAGACCATCGCTGAGCACTACGCCGCAAAGGGTCGCCTTCTAGGGAGCTTCTTCTTTTTTCGAGGTACTGGCGAACGGAGTCACATATCTCGTTTGATCCCTACTCTTGCACATCAGATCTCTCTCACTGTTCCTGGTGCAAAGCCATTTATTGAACGTGCTCTTGAGTCTGAGCCAACCCTGCTGACTGTCTCTATGGCTTACCAACTTCAAAGGCTTGTCATAGAGCCAATCCATTTCAACACTTCACAAGTCTCCTATAGCTCTGTTGTTGTTATTGATGCTCTTGATGAATGTGATGATAAAGCTGAGATGGCAGACTTCATTGATGTCTTGCTCAATGCATCTTCAGGGGGTCATCTTCCTTTCCAGATTCTCCTCACCAGCAGGGTAGAGGAACATATTCGAAGAAAATTTGATAGTTCTGAAGCTTGGTTTTTGCACTATCTGGAGCTACAGGGTTATGATACTTGTCAGGACATCAAAGTATATTTTCAAAGGGAGTTTGGTCACATCTATGACCAAAATTGGCGAATCATGCGGAAAATACCAAAGCCCTGGCCATCAGCTGAAGATCTTGCTGCACTTCTTGACAAGGCTAGTGATTCATTTGTATTTGCCACTACATTGATCCAATGTGTTGGTGGAGACCACATGCCACACAAGGCCTTGCAAAAACTTCTGGCATCAGGAGTTAATGGCCTAGATTCACTCCATGAACAAGTCCTCTCTTCTGTGTCCTGGACAGCAGACTTCTGTCAGATTCTTGGAACAATCATGGTTCTGAAACACAACAAATCTATCTCTTTTCTCAGCTCCCTCCTCTCTCTCCAGCATGAGGAGGTGATTTGTGAGCTATTACAAGTACAGTCCATTATCAAAATTCCTGGAGATGATAATGAGCCTATTATGCTCTATCACACATCTCTCCAGGATTTTTTGATGGTCAAATCACGATCAAAGCAATATTTCATTGATCCTCCTCTACGACACCTTCATCTGGCCATACACTGCTTGAAGCATCTAGAAAACTACCCTTCAAAAGACTTTTTTGAGGATGAAGTAGCTAGCTATGCTTGCTTGAATTGGCCACACCATATTCTTTTAGGATTTCAGATGCAAGAATCACAAGTTGATGAAACAATGACAACCTCTTTGGTAACTCTTATTGAAAATTTACTGACTTTTCAGGGTAAAATATGGTATAATACCATGATGACTTTTGAGTCTTCTGAGAAGACAACAATTTTAAGCTGTGTGAGAGATGGGAAGGATTTGTTTCAAGTCAGTCATTGCAATTCTTGAATCATCATCACACTCTTAACATGTTTAAGACATTGCAGGTGTCACTTGCTACAAAGAATTTGACCAAGCTATTTGAACAATTTAATTATTTCTGTGAAGTGAGAGTTTAAAATTAGAATATTTTCACTGATTTATATCTACCAACAGACAGTAAGTAACAAGAGACTAATACTGCTCAACATTAATCTGTAAGGTGAATAGGAGGTATGTGGAAATAAACATCAACCAAAAGATATCAAGATAAAATATTGACCTGTTGTATAGAAGGTAAGCTAAGACATGATAACATTTTATTGCTGCTGATCAAGCACAGGAAGTAAGAACAAAAAATTTACCAAGCAAAGCAGAGTTTTATTCTTGTTGTTGCTTTTTCTTGCAGAATGTATGTCTACAAATTGTTCAAGTTTATATATATACTAATGGTTGTCACTAGTTTGTGGGAAATTACTTCACACAATATGTCACATTCTACCATCAACTGACCATTCTTTCAGGAAGTAAGTATCAATGGTTGATTCTGTTTCTTATACAGTTAATGTTTTGTTTATAAACCCAGAGGGTAATATATGGTCTGTTCACATTGTGTTTGTATACCTTTAACAGATTTTTTAGTGGGTAAGTGATTATAAAATTTCTAAAGTAATTTTGTTCTGACTCAATTCTCTTCTTAACCTACCATATCTTAGATTGTGAGTGGCTCTTCTATTGACTATTATCTCTGTGGCAACTCATTCTCTGGTCTTTTCTTTTCTTGTGCACCATTCTCATGATCATCATGTGCTTTCAGAAGGTATGCTTTCTTGCATTTTATTTTGCACACTTCTAAAACACATACTTGGGCCAATCTTTTCTAGATGGTGAGTTAGCATTCCTTTTATATACTATGCAGTCTTCTGAAGATAAATGTGCCAATCATTTTTTTTTTAGAAAGTGAGTTGGCCTCATTTTTGATGTGCACTCTTCTGGTTACACAGACTGTGGCATACCTTGTTCTAGGAGGTGAGATGGCCTGGCTCTCAATGTAGACTCTTTCAGTGATATTGTGGCCTGTCTTATTTCAGGAGGTGAGTTAGCATAGTTTCTATGTGCATCTTCTGGTGACACAGGTGTGGCCTGTCTTGTTTAAGCTGGTGAGTTAGCCTAGTTTCTAATGCACACTCTGCTGGTGACTCAGACTGTGGCCTGTCTTGTTTTAGAAGGTGAGTTTGCCTGGTTTTTAATGTGCATTCTTCTGGTGACACTGTGAGCCTTTCTTCTTTCAGAAGGTGAATTGGCCTAGATTTTAAGGTGCAACTTCTGCTGACACAAATGATGGCCTTTCTTTTTAGAGGGTAAGTTGGCCTAGTTTTTCATTTGCACTCTTTTGGTGACACAAACTGTGGCCTGTCTTGTTTTAGAAGGTGAGTTGGCCTAGGTTTTGATGTCCAATCTGGTGACATGCCCTGTGCCCTGTCTTGCTTCAGGAGGTAAGTTCAATTGGATTTTCATGTGCACTCCTCTGGTGATGTAGACTGTGGTCTGTCTTGTTTCAGAAGGTGAGTTGGCCTGTTTCTCATTGTTCACCCCTCTGGTAACAGTGTGGCCTGCCTTGTTGCAGTTGGTGAGTTGGGCTGGTTTTTCATGTGCATTCTTCTGGTGACACAAACTGTGGCATGTCTTCTTCAAGTTGGTAAGTTGGCCCAGTTCTTCATGTGTACTCTTTGGGTGACATAGACTGTGGCCTGTCTTGTTTCAGCATGTGAGTTGGCCTGGTTCTTCATCTGGACTCATCTGTTAATACAGACCATGTCCTGTTATATTTTAGTTGGTAAGCTGGCCTGCTTTTTAATTTACATTCTTCTGGTGACAAAAATTGTGGCCTGTCTTCTTTCAGTTGGTAAGTTGACCTGGTTTTTACTGTACACCATCTGGTGACAGAGACTTTGGCCACTCTTGTATCAGGAGGTGAGTTGGCCTGGTTTCTATTGTGCACTATGATTACAGATTGTGACCTTCTCTGTTTCAGGAGGTGAGTTGGCCTGTTTTTTGATGTGCACTCTTCTGTTGACACAGACTGTAACCTGCCTTGTTCTAGGAGGTGGGTTGATTTGGTTTTCAATATGCACTTCACTGATGACACATACTGTGGCCTGTCTTGTTTCAGGAGGTGAGTTGCCTGGCTTTTGCTGTGCACCCTCTGGTAATAAAGACTTTGACCACCTCTCTTGTGTCAGGAGGTGAGTTGGCCTGGTTTTATTGTGCACTCTGACTACAGACTGTGACCTGCCTTGTTTTAGGAGGTGAGTTGGTTTGGTTTTTGAGGTGCACTCCTGTTGACACAGACTCTGACCTGCCTTGTTTTAGGAGGTGAGTTGGTTTGGTTTTTGAGGTGCACTCCTGTTGACACAGACTGTAATCTGCCTTGCTTTAGGAGGTGAGTTTGCCTGTTGTTTGATGTGCACTTTTCTGAAGACACATGCTGTGGCCTCCCTTTTTTCAGCAGGTGGGTTGACCTCATTTTGGATGTGCACTCTTCTGTTGATACAGACTGTGGCCTGTCTTGTTTTAGGATGTAAGTTGGCTTGGTTTTTTATGCACTCTTCTGGTGACAGAGACTGTGGCCTACCTTTTTCAGATTGTGAGTTGGCCTGGTTTTTGTTGTGTACTCTTCTGTTGATACAGACTGTGGCTCATCTTGTTTCAGGAAGTAAGTTAGCCTGGTTCTTCATGTGCACTTTTTTGGTGACAGTCTATGGTAAATCTTTTACAGGAGGTGGGTTGGCCTAGTTTTTCATGTGCACTCTTCTAGTGACACAGACTATGCCCTGTCTGGTTTCAGGAGGTAGGTTGGCCCAGTTTATATTGTGACTCTTCTGCTGAAACAGACCATGGCTTGTGCTGTTTCAGTTGGTGAGTTGACCTGATTTTCAATGTGTGATCTGCTAACACAGACTGTGACCTCTCTTTTTACAGAAGGTGGGTTGCCTTTGTTTTTTATGTGAACTCTGCTGGTAATAGAGGATGTGACCTGTCTTATTACAGGAGGTAAGTTGGCCTGGTCTTTCATGTGCACTCCTCTGATGATACTGGCCTGTCTTCTCTTATTTCAGAGGGTGAGCCACTCCACTTTTACTTTGCACTTCATTGGTGATACAGTCTGTGGCCTGTGTTGTTTCAGGATGTGAGTTTTGACGATGAATTATGTTTCTTACTCACCATTTCTTTTTACTGTTTTCAGTTTGTCAGTCACTTTTCTTCACTGCATACTTTTCTAGTAATCTATTTTTGACATTTCCTTTTACAGCTGGTGAGACACCTATATACTTATCCCAATCCATTCTGTCACTTGTTTCTTGTGCTCATCTTTTCCATCTATAGAAAGTATGTGGTCTCTTCTGCATATCTTGTGAGTTTTATTTGATACCTTTCACTTTTTGAATCTACATGTATTCAATCATTATTATTTATCAGGTGATTAATCTCTATTCAATATCTGTCAAGCTGGTTAGTGAATTTCAGCACCTGTAGAACAATATGACATCTTCATGTTTGTTCTTTTCAGGATGTAGGTCATCAATTTACTTTCATTCAAACACAATTCTGGTGTTTACAAAAAATCAGATTGTATGTTTCTGTTTACTATTATACAATTATGCTCATGTTTTATAGCTTGTATGTCTTCAATGCATTGCCACACTTTGTTCTTTAAACCATTCTTTTTGCTAGGAAGTATGTATTTCTCACATCATTTGACCAGGTCACTTATTTCAGAATTATAGTGGGCAAGTCAACTCCATTTTCTATCAAATTAGAATCTTTGGTGTCATAAAAATTTCCATTTTTAGAGGGTATGCTTCTTTATTACTGTTACTGCTCAGTCAATACTCATTTTCAAAATATATAGAGAGATACAGAGCTCTTTGGGTTCTAATGGGCTTATTTCTTTGGAAAATCTCAAGCTTTTGTAGGTGTATCTATTTTCTCTATTCCTTTTTATTCAATATCTCCATTCCTAGTAGTTGATCCATGCCTTATACAAATATTTTCTTTGACATCTCCATGATCAAGTTATATAGACATTGAGGAGAAGAAAGATTTCAATGTACTTAGTGTAAGATGGTCATATCCCTATATGCAACTGCTATACTGAAAGGGTGTAGACATGAAAGAATATTCTTTCACCTACTGGTGCATATATGGTAGTGTAAACAGCTCTATATCTACAGCCTTACACTTAGTTTGTGGAATGATGTTCAAAGACTCCTTGCAGAAGAGTCTGCAGAGAAGTCAAATGAGTGACTGACTTGAGTTGGCACTTATCTTGTGCATTGATGAGCAGTTATGAGGTGCTCAGCTAGCATAGAGTGTTGTAGTTCATGATCCCAAGACTGGAGTCTTGTGTGGTGATAGTCACTAATTGATGGGCATAGAATGCAAAGGTAGACTGTATATTATGATAGCAAACCCTAGCATAGGGTTCACACAACTATTGACAACAAGACAAATATATACAAAGTAGATATGAGAAACTAGTACTATGTCTTAGAATGTCCCATAGATTCCAACTGCATTAAAAGCCTCCCCACATTTGAAGACCATAGCTACTGCTTGGATAGCTGCTTCATGAGCTGTTGTTGCCCCCTCGTTGACACCACAGTATGAATTCCCCCTCTACTCTCTCTTCTAGAGTGATACTGGCACAATGTTATAAGAATACATCCAGAGTCAAAGGCAAGCATCTGAGTGAAGTTTGGACTGAAGGACCTTCCATAGGGATCATTGAACCTGAAGAAAGCTTTGAGATGGGTCATTCCCAATGGTGGCTGTGTTGTTGAGCCACTTTGTTGAAGGTCGCCTTGCATACAAAATGATTGATCACTAAGGCATTGTTCATATTGTGATGCATAAGATATCCATGCAGCTTACACACATCATCATTACTACCCCTGTCCACCTATATGAAAGCAGGAGACCCATAAACTGTTCTATAAATCTGGCTGATCCAAACAAAATGAGATGAGATGACTTTACTCAACAGCGAGGAACAGCAAGCATACCAGTCAAATGGCATCCTTCAAAGCACAAGAAGCAGGAATCAGAAGCACTGTCCATCATAATTTCCACTGATGAGCTTGCAACAGAGGGACAGATGGAGGAGCTCCTAGCAGCCATAATGAGTGCTGGGCCGCATTCCATTGGAGTAGATGGTATGGGCACTGATGACGTGAGCAGTGCTGGAATGCTGGGAATGATCACCTCATCTTTCTCAATGACTACCTCCACACCCCTCAACTTTTCCTGTGTCTTCAGGGACAGACATACTCATCGAGGGAGTGTGAGCCTGCTGACCTTGTAAGCATTCTTGCTTCTCTTCTTCCTGTTGAGCTAAGTGATGGGCCCTTGGCTCCAGAGGGATTAGTCTTGGCAGTGGGCATTCAGATGCTACAGTGGTAGGTGGTAAATTAATGACCACAGTTGGGGTGGGGGAGAAGGGGCTGGGTCAACATTTCATGGCAAGAGCTGCATGCTGAACACTTGCAATATGATTACTTGGAAGATGGTGTAGGGGCTCTCTGGCCTGTCATGCCTCTCTTTGGACTCTGTTTTGTGTATAGCCAGTGTAAAACAGGATGCTTCTTTCCCACCTTGCCATTGACTAATGCAACAATTGAGCCACAGAGGCTGGGCCACCAAACTCCCCTATGTCTGATGCAATCCCTGAGGATATTTCAATATCTTCCATATAATATATCTTTCCTCTTCTAATACAGTCAAAGTATACTCTCTTGCAGTCTTCCATTGATACAGATGAAACTATTTCACCTGTATAAAATATGAATTTAATGATTTTACCATTAAAGTCTTCTCCATAACTACACTACATACAATTGTAATGACATAGAGAGCCTTTGAACATACCCAGATTAGTAGACTAGTGCATATGCATCAAGTCTGAATGTAGGACAAAGGCTTTGGAGCTGGCAGCAGTATGTGTCACAACATTATGCTTGGAACCTACCTAAGATTCACCCACCATGAAATAGAGTACAAAGAGACTCTAGAGTAAACCACCCAACACAGGGTACAAGATTGCATTACTACCATTTTAAAATGGAAACTTGTTTTTTTATCTTGCAATAAAACCACCAGGACTTCTAGAGGATAAACTACATGTGGACATTATGAGAAAATGATCTACTACTAAAAAGACTATACCACAACTATGCAGTATACATACAAAGATCAAGCATGACTTGCAGCCATGTATAAGGTTGAGTATGGTGATTCCCATGTACACATCAAAAGTGATGCATTGTATCACCCAAGACACATAGAGGCATGTGCTTAAGAAAGACATTATGTAATATATCATGGAGACCCCCTTGATATTTAAGAGGCCATTTGAAGCTCTTTGGAACATCTTCTGATCTCCATATGATAAAGAAAGCAAGAAGAGGTACTTTAATTAAAGACCTCCAGAGATAAAGAAGCCAGCAGCACATCTGCATACACATTGAACACATTAGCATGCCTATCACTGAAATGACACAATATGTCAAATTAGTAGCTGAGCCCATGTGAAAGAAGCATGCAGGACCAGTCCAAGCTGAAGATAATTAAGAACTGGATTGTATGTAAAAAAGGTCATGAAATATTGAAGACTCATGCCCATAGACTTTGTATTGGCAAAGAGTTAGCAGAGGAAAGGCAGTACAAAGAATCCAACACTTGCTGTCACCCAATTGCCTCATGAAATTTGGTCTTTCTGATTTTTGGTTGGACAGATTCGTTTTCAGCAGTGCCAAATATTGATGGTAGTAGATGCAGAGTTGCAACAAATGTGCATTGCAGTGTTATACCATTGAGTGTTGAGGCTGTTCATGAAATAACAAAGCACTCACCTTGAGCAAGTCAACTGGTGCTGTGTAGAGACTTGAGAGTGAGCAAAATTACATTGTTGGACTTGGTGGAAGTCAGCGACAAAGGAGGAAATGGGGGAGTGGTTGGTAACCAGACATCCAGGCTGCACCCAAGTGACCCTCGCAAACACATGAGGTCTTCCAATTTCAAGTAGCTACCTAAATACATAGTACAATTTGAAATACATGTTGTCACCTGAAGCTACAGCAGTACTTTACAGTGCCCCACCCATTCCTGCAGGAATCCTCAGGAATCCTCAGGAATCCATAGGAATGGGACTGGAATCCTCAGGAATCCACAGGAATCCTCAGGAATGGGACTGGAATCCACAGGAATGGAGAACTGGAATCCAGTGAAATGATGCATTTACATTAATATACACTTCACATTGTGACTTAATAGATATCAGCATTTTCTTATAACATTTATATATTAAAATTAAAATATATTCAAGTAATACCTAATTTACTATTTTCTATGTTAAATGAAGGGGCAGAAAGAAAGGAGGGGAGGGGGGAGAAAGGAAGGGACAGGGAGTGGAGTGGGGCTGTCATCAACATAAGGGAGGGAGGGAGGGAGGAAGGAAGGGGGGAGGAATGAAAGGGGGGGAAAGAAAGGGAGGAGAAAGAAAGGGGGGAGGAGAAAGGAAGGGGGGAGGAGAAAGGAAGGGGGGAGGAGAAAGGAAGGGGGGAGGAGAAAGGAAGGGGGGAGGAGAAAGGAAGGGGGGAGGAAGGAATGAAGGGGGGAGGAATGAAGGGGGGAGGAAGGAAGGGAGGAGGAAGGAAGGGAGGAGGAAGGAAGGGAGGAGGAAAGAAGGGAGGGACAGGCAGTGGTGTGGGGCTGTGATCAGCATAAGAAAGGGGGAGGAAGGGAGGGAGAGATGGGCAATGGAGGGGAAGAGACCTGAAACCCATGTCAGCAAATGAGAGAATGAGGGGAATGGCTCACAAGATCAGCAAACAGGACAAACGACGACACGTTCGTCATCGTCTGGTACCCACATTGCGTCGTCTCGTTCCTACGTCGCATTGTCGTTGTCGTCGCATTGTTGTCGTTGTCGCGTTGTCGTTGTCGTTGTGTTGTTGTTGTCGTCGCATTGTTGTCGTCACGTTCTCGCGTCGCGTCGTTGTCTCGTGCCCACGTAGTGTTGCCGCGGCTCGGCTAGCTGAGAGCCGGCTTATGTAAGCCAGCTAAATTTCCTTAAGTGGCTCGGCTCGGCTTTTAGCTGACCCAAAGCCGGCTCAAGCCGGCACATAATTCTCAAAGTGATGTGACTATAAATCTGGGTAAATTAGATGCTGTCTACCTGATAGATACACAGTGTAATGTATATTTCGAGCATAGAACTATAATAGAAACCAAATGATTATGAAAATAAATAAAAATTCGCAAAAAAAATAGGGAAGGATGTGAGATAGCATGGAAATAGGAGCACGTATGGATGTCATCTCTTCAGCTCCTTCAAATACAACCAGAATACAATGTAAACGAGCTTC